GAGAGAAAGAGAGGAGAGATAGAGAGCGAAGAGAGAGAGAGAGAGAAGAGGAGAGAGAGAGAGAGAGAGAGAGAGAGAGACAGAGACAGAGAAATAGAGACAGAGAGTCAGAGCGCATTAGGGAGAGGTCAGGTTTACTGATGTATTCCATCCGAACCTTAACTTTTTTCTACCGACGAACACGATCCACACCGAAACGAAGGTTAGGCGAAATGTCGCTGATGTATTTTCAGTGACGAATCGTTTTTCCAATTACACTGGAGGACGCAAACTATTAAGTCCGTACGTCGTATCGGCTATACAGCGAACAAGCGCCGTGCTGCAATTAGGAAACAAGGCGGCCATTGAGTGATCATTCCAGACTTTCTGTGCGAGCGCTAAGTAAACGCATGCGCTACGTTTTGTGTCGCTGAACGCGCAAGCATCGGAGAATAAAGCGACTGGACCATCTGTGTCCTCTCGCGCGACTTCCCATAGCAAGAATATAGATATCTATCTACCTATCTATAGATAATCTATCTATATTATTTCTATGGTTCGTCCGTTGCTGACGTCGGCTTTTCGCAGAAGAATTCCGCTGACAATGCAGCGGTTGATGCCGGTAAATAACTTCATCGATATGTGGCATGCACGCACAGTACCTCAGTAGCACACGACGTGTAATCCTTAATTAGAGTAAAGACCAGGCAATCCCATACCGTGTAAGGTATGGTGTATTTAAAGCAATGTAGCGAGATGGCGGCAACTCGTTATTCATAACATTGCTTACATATATAGACATAAGGTAGTCTACCGTTCCCCACAATCCGGAAACAGACAATGATGTGAACTTGTGATTGCAATGATGATAATGATTGGGATGTCGATGATGATGATGACTATTATGCTGACGATGACGATGATGATGATGATGATGACCATGAAAATGAAGAAAGAGACAAAGGATAACAAGAAATGGAAGAAAGAGAGAAAGGAAGAGAGAAGTAGAAGATGATGAAGAAGAAGAAGACGAAGACGAACAACAACAACAACAAGAACAACAACAACAACAGTAACAACAAGAACAACAACACCACCAACAACAACAACAACAACAACAACAACAACAACAACAACAACAAAAGTAACACAATGGTAACAGAAAACAACTATTGTCGTGTTAATAGATCATTGGAGGACCTCACACACAAAAATCTGTATTCCACAGTAATGATCGTGCATGTCCTCGTACCACCGTCCTTCTATATGTGCGTGAGTGTATGCGTGCATATGCGCGCGTATGTGCACGAGCATTATGGTAACCGCGATTGAGTACCCGTGTGTGCTCAGAGGGGGAGAGCGCGTGTCTGTACGTGTGTGTTTGCGTGCGTGCGTGAGTGTGTGTGCGCACGCGCAGCGCGGGTACCCACGTGAACTTGTGCGTGCGTGTTGTGTCTGCGCGTGTATGTGTTTTTATTTTATTTCCCACAACCGTTACTGCGTAACTATCCACATACACGTCAACCCAGAACACAAAAGTGAAACGTCGAGCGTTGGCGAACGTATATATTTTTATATCGAATGATAATAAACATTAATACGCTATGCGCTAAATTGGTCGGCCGCCCTATTGTCTATGGTGTAACATAACACAACGTACCGCCCCCCATAATTACACCGTTAGATGAGATTTCAGCGTGCATGCGATGTCAGTACGTGAATCACCACCGCGCCAGTATAACGATATTCGATTTAGCAGCACAGCATTCACGAGCATGGCGATGGATTGCGTTTAAGGCTTAATTGCGATCTTAATGAACTCACGCATCAGAACGTGGACCTCGTGTGTGATGACATCACCAGGAGATCTCGCAACTCAAAAAATGCGTGGCAGCGACGGTATATACTTCAAGCGCATGTAGCGAAATATCGTGAAGGGTTTCGACGATTTAGTCATGAGATTCGTTGATGGCTCGTGAAGGCCCGAGCCGTTGTTAGAAGGAAGACCGACATGTCATTTTATGAGATGCCAGGAAAATATCAGCTGTCTGACATTCAGTTGCCGCGAGGAGGCAGGAAATATAGTGCGGACACTGTCGTAGACTAGAAACGGATCGAAACAGAGTTACTGTATTTCTCCTGTTCTATCCATCCATCTATTCGTCCGTCCGTCCGTCAGTCCGCTTGTCCGTCCGTCCGTCCGTCCATCCGTCCGTCCGTCCATCTATCCATCTCCATCCCATCCCATCCAATCCATCCATCCATCCATCCATCACATCAATCCATCCATACCATCCACTGCCACTACTTCACATCCATATTGTCGTCTGTCCGCCCATCCCGATCCATCCATCCATTCATCCACTCCAATCACCATCCCACTCCACATCCATCCATCACTCCCAACTCCACTCCATCCCACTCCCAATCCCACCCATCCATCCAATCCATACCAGTCCCATCCCACTCCATCCCATCACTCCATCCATCCATCCATCCCATCCACCATCCACTCCAATCCTCATCCATCCATCCATCCATCCATCACTCCATTCCACATCCATCCACCTCCATCCACTCCACTCCATCACATCCATCCATCCACTCCATACCACCATCCAATCCATCCACTCCACTCCACGTCCACTTCCATTCCACTCACTCCATCCCATCCAATCCATCAATCCACTCCACTCATCCCATCCACTCCACTCCATCCCGCATCCAACTCCATACATACCATCCATCCCATCCCACCATCCATCCGACTCACACTCCATCCATCCCATCCATCCAAAGTCATCACGCCATCCATCCATCCATTCCATGCCATCCATCCAACTCCACTCCATCGATCCAGCATCCAATCCATCCACTCCACTCCATCCATCCATCCATCCATCCACTCCCAATCCGATCCACTCCATCGCATCCATCCATACCATGCCACTCAATCCACCTCACATCATATTACTCCCATCCATCCATCCATCCATCATCCATCCATCCCATCCATCCATCCATCATCCATCCATCCAGTCCATCCATCCATCCATCCATCCATCCATCATCCATCCATCCTATCCTCCATCCATCATCCATCCATCCATCCATCCATCCATCCATCCATCCATTCCATCCAATCCATCCATCATCCATTCCATCCATCATCCATCCATCCACCATTCCATCCAGCATCCATCCATCCATCCATCCATCCATCCATCCATCCATCCATCCATTCCATCCATCCATCCATCCATCCATTCTATTCATTCCGTCCGTCGCGTCGCCCACCCATCCATCAATCCATCCATCCATCCGTCGTCCGTCTACCGTCCGTCGTCGCCTAGTCCCGTCCGTCCATCCACCTATCCACTCTCCGCCAGCACGCCCGTCTGTCCTCATCTCCCCTTTCCAGTCATACTTTCATCCATTCACCCGTGTACGTACGTACGCGCGGGGGCGTGTGTGTGTGTGTGTGTGTGTGTGTATATGTGTGTACGCTCTTGCTGTCTTTTTCCCGCTCTTCAACTTCTTCGTATTTATTAATAGCGTGTCGTGTTCCACCGGCAGTTAGCATTATCTCGTATGATGTCCAGCGGGCGATGCAATTTGAATTGCAATCTTTAACGGCATGCGCGCACTGCTTGTGATTTAGAAATGCAGGCTGTGTCTGGTTTTTAGCTCTGCTGTCGCGTAAGTAATGCGCGTGAGTGGCTGGTATGGCAGTGTGAGAAAGCACCCAGGTTATATCATTTTGCGTGCGGGAATCGTACAGCAGTTAGCTTTATAGACACAATACGCTCGATGGGTGCGTAACTATAGACATCCTCGCCAGATATCGACATTTCGTAGACTTACTGTGCTAGTTAGAGAGTTGTTAAAAGGTCTGCAGAAGACAGTTCTTCGCTTAAATAACAGTGATTACACGAAACAAAGGGCCAACGATTTTATATCGCCTAGTTAGAAAGGACGCATTTGCCTTCTACGCAATTTTTATTCCAATAATAATGAAGGAGGGCGATAGATATCGTAATTAATCATGCCAACAGAAAGATATAGTATATATATATATATTACCACTCGTGGAACTTTAAGTCGTTCGAGGAGACTGCTTTTCTATGCTAGGGTGCCATCTATAGGTAAGGTCATCTATAGATAAGGTAAGCCAAGTTGCATCAGCAGACGAAAATAGTTGTGTTCCTATGTAGTAAACCCGAGGTATTTAACGACAATACAAATTGCACTTCAATGGCTATGCAATCAGCAAACTTGTGCAGCTACTATGACAATCGCGCTGTCACGTCAGTATAGAACCTAGTGAATGAAAGTTTCTGTGAAAACTTAAAACTGCATGAATTTACTGATTTTCCGCACATTAATTTTACGCAGAGCCACATGCACGCACAGCCACACGCACGTACAGCCACACACACGCACAGCCACACTCACGCACGCACAGTCACACGCACGTACAGCCACACGCACGCACAGCCACCCACGCACGCCAGCCACACGCACGCCACGCACAGCCACACGCACGCACATCCACACGCACGCCACACCACACTCAGCACTGTACAGCCACAGCGCCACGGCCAAACGCACGGCACCGCACCCCACAGCCCACACACAGCACAGCACACGCACACACACACCAGCCACACGCAAGCACACCACACGCACCGCACAGCCACACGCACGTACAGCCCACACCGCACGCACTACACACGCACGCACAGCCCACACGCAAGTACAACAGACCACGCACAGCACACGGCACGCACAACCGCACGCACACACAGCCACACGCACGCAAAACAGCCCGCACGCATGCACCAC